AAATCAAAATCAAATGCTAAGAAGTATGCTATCACACTGGTACCCACTGCTCTTATTTAACAAGCACATCAGAGGAAAATGTGTCCAGTTCAAAGGGCTCATTTGTTTACTAAATAATATGTTACTGTCTTTCATTTTGGGGAAAAAATAGCCTATTGTGTAGAGGTATAGCTACAGAGTGGCCAGTAATTTTCAATATTGTGTATTTCTTAAAGCCTGCTTTTTATACAATATTTTCTTAAGACTGTAAGCTTCTCTTCTGTTCCAAATATCATAATGAAAATTTAAGGCTGCTTAAAAATGCATTTTATTATTTATTTTTCATAAGTTTATTTATTTTGAAAGAGAGAAAGAGAGAGAGCACACAAGTGGGGAAGGGGAAGAGAGAGTGGGAGAAAGAATCCCAAGCAGGCTCTGCACTTCCACGAACTGTGAGATCATGACCCAAGCTAAAATCAAGAGTTGGACGCTTAACCAACTGAGCCACCTATGTATTCCTAAAAATTTATTTTAAAATACTGATTTTAATTTTGCTTACTTGCTGCTCTGTATGAAATACCTGCATTATATTTGAATCTGTGATTCAAATCAAAATTCCTATCAATATATGCACTTCATGCTTTTTCTCTATCAAGACTTTCATTCTTAAAAGGCTGAACAAGATAACCTAAACTAAAATTACAATGCTTTAAAGATCTAATGGCAATCTATTTCTGTCAGGACAAACACAATATAAGGAAATTTAAACAGGCCAGATACTTCTGTTCTTGAAATGAGGAAACATCAGGGGAACTATGTAGCTATAATCAAACTTCAGTGCCCAACAGAATCTTCTTGGATACTTGCTGAAAAAGTAGTATATGACTGGGTGTTATATGGAATCCAACTTGACAATAAACTATCAAAGAAAAAAAAAAAAGAAAAAGTAGTATATGTCCACAGCTAGAACAAACAATCCTAAAATTTGTATGGAACCAGAAAAGACCCCAAATAGCCAAAGCAATCCTGAAAAAGAAAACCAATGCTGGAGGCATCACAATTCTTAACTTCAAGCTGTATTGCAAAGCTGTAATTACCAAGACAGTGTGGTACTAGCACAAAAACAGACACTCAGATCAATGGAACAGAGAACCCAGAAATGGACCCACAAACGTATGGCCAACTAATCCTTGACAAAGTGGGAAAGAATACCCAATGGAAAAGACAGTCTCTTCAGCAAAAAGTGTTGGGAAAACTGGACAGCGACATGTGGAAGAACGAACCTGGACCACTTACACTGTACACAAAAATAAACTCAAAATGGATGAAAGACCTAAACATAAGACAGGAAGCCATCCGAATCCTATAGAAAAAAACAGGCAACAACTTCTTTGACCTCGCCCGCAGTAACTTCTTACTAGACAGGTCTCTGGATGCAAGGGAAACAAAAGCAAAGATGAACTACTGGGACCTCATTAAGATAAAAAGCTTCTGCATGATCAAGGAAACAACCAGCAAAACTAAAAGGCAACCAGTGTGATGGAAGATGACATTTGCAAATGACCTATCAGATAAAGGGTTAGTACCTAAAATCTATAAAGAACTTGTCAAACTCAACACCCAAAAACCAAATAATCCAGTGAGGAAATGGCCAAATGACATTTCTTCTACAAAGAAGACATCCAGATGGTCAACAGACACATGAAAAAATGCTCACCCTCAATCAGCAAGGAACTACAAATCAAACCACATGATAGGGGCGCCTAGGTGGCTCGTTGGTTAAGCATCCAACTTCAGGTCAGGTCATGATCTCAAGGTGCTGACAGCTCAGAGCCTGGAACCTGCTTTGGATTCTGTGTCTCCTCTCTCTGCTCCTCCCCCATTTATGCTCTGTCTCTCAAAAAGAAATAAAAAAAAGTTAGAAAAAAATTTTCAAAACCACAATGAGATACCACCTCATACCTAGCAGAATGGATAAGATTAACAACTCAGGCAACAGCAGATGTCGGTGAGAATGCAGAGAAAGAGGAACCTTTTGCAGTGCTGGTGGGAATGCAAACTGGTGCAGCCACTCTGGAAAACAGTATGGAGTTCCTCAAAAAATTAAAAATACAACTACTCTACAACCCAGTAATTGCACTACTAGGTATTTATCCAAAGGATAAAAAATGCTGATTCAAAGGGACACAAGCACCCCAATGTTTATAGCAGCACTATCAACAACAAAGTATGGAAAGACTCCAAATGTCCACTGAAAGTTAAACGGATAAAGATGTGGTATATACAATATTAATACAATGGAATATTACTCAGCGGTCAAAAAGAATGAAATCTTGCCATTTGCAACTACATGGATGGAACTAGAGGGTATTATGCTAAGTGAAATTAGTCACAGAAAGACAAATATCATATGATTTCACTCATGTGGAATTTAAAATACAAAACATAAACATAAGGGAAGGGAAGCAAAAATAATATAAAAAGAGAGAGGGGGGCAAAACATAAGAGACTCTTAAATACAGAGAACTGAGGGTTGCTGGAAGGGTTGTGGGAGGCGGGATGGGGGGATGGGCTAAATAGGTAAGCGGCATTGAGGGCACTGAAATGAGCACAGGGTGTTATATGAAAGCCATGAATCACTAAAATCTATTCCTGAAATCATCATTATAATATATGTTAACTAACTTGGATTTAAGTTAAAAAAAAAAAAAAGAAAAGGTAGTGTATGTCAATTATACTTGGATTAAAAGAAGAAGAAAGAAGAAATATAAAAAAAAGTAGTTATCTGTCCTCTCTACTTCAGAAGGATAGGACCCAGAAACTTTGGTTTTCCAAACACCTCAGGTGATTCTGAAGTATTTCAAGGCCACTCTGAGAAATACTTGTACTAGCTCTGATATCAGAAACATGATTTAAAGTCCACCTCTTCCATTCATTCGTTGTATGACCTCAGACCACTTACTTAGTTTCTTCAAGGTTCAGATTTCTCATCTGTAAAAGGCGAATACTTAAAGTTTCACAAGGATGAGAGGATACAATGAAACAATGCTTATACAGTACTTAACACATGCCCACCTATAATTATTACTATGATTCATCCAGTTCCACAGAACAAAAAATAAGGAAGAACTGGACATATATACATATTCACCATGACATTCTAAATGCTTTGTTATTCATGGTAATGTTTTTTCCATTTTCATATTAAAATTTTCACCTACAAAATTCTACAAAAACCTCCCGGTCAGGCATGCTCTGTCTTCCTTTTTTTAAATTTTGGAATACACGAAGAAAGTTTTTGGACACATTACGTAACTGCTTCCAGTTTCATAAACAAACCTTATCAAAGGCATAAGGCAATGAACATTGACTATTAACCAGAAAATACTTTTCATATCAACATAGATACTCAAAAAATTAATATTTTTACTCAACATTAGTCAGATTTTACAGGAAACCAAATCCTGTTTGCTTTTTCTGGTAAACCACAAAAATTAGACACAAGGTTATCTAAATAAAAAATGCCAACTGTTTACATTTAGAAAAATCAGTTTAACTGGGCTATAATCAATTCATCTCCTTTCATTACACAACTCTTCTGGTTTCCCCTATTTTAAAATCCTAAATGTAATTTATAAGTGACCATCTAACGCCACTGTTTTATTCCAGAAGATGTATATACACACAGTTTTTTAAAAACTCATTAGAAACTTAATTTTTTAGAAATAACCAGAAATCTGTAAGCACCTGGGTGGCTCAGTTGGCTGGGTGTACAACTCTTTGATTTTGACTCAGGTCATAACCCCTGGGTGGTGGGATCCAGCCCGCTTTGGAGCTCCATGTTCAGCATGGAGCCTGCTTATGATTCTCTCTCTCTCTGCCCCTCACTCTCAAAATCAATCAATAAATAAACATTTTAAAAAACTCCAGAAATCCTGTATGATGCTTTCACACTAACTAGAAATTCTAAACGATGCTTTTGTGTAAACTGAGAAATTTATTAAAACACCATTTATAAAAGTATGCAGCCTCCTCTGCATCCTTATCATTTGAAAGCCTTAGAAAGCTCATCAGTTAATAACACCTCATCTTTTATTTAAAAAACAATAATAATATTCAAGAATATTTTATCACCTGCCAAAAATCAACTAACTGATGGGTCGGCCAAATCATCTAACATGAATAAGTAAAGGCAAAATGGAAAACTCAAGTGCAGGCTGTTAAATGTGATGGAACCAAGGAACCTTGCTGAGCTGCAATCATCATACATCAATATTTTTCAAGTGCTCACTTGTACAAGGCACTATACAGATTACCACCCTTCAGCCAAGGCAAATGGCGCGGGGGGCGGGGGGCGGGGGGCGGGGGGGGAGAATGGGAGGGAGGAATCGGAGCCCTGGAGGCCCTTTCTTAAGCATGCAATTGGGCTCAAACTACCACCAAGGGAACTCTGCAAAAGATGTATTTTTTTGGACGGTAAGAAACGTAAAGGTACCGTGAGCTTCCAGCACTTTGCAAAATCTGGTAGGATATTGGAGAAGAGTTAAGGTTCCGCGACGGTGAAATTCCTTGCAAAAGGGTAATTTTGTAAAAGCTTGTACTCTGTTTTAGGAGAGAAGGGTGGGCGGCAGCGGGTTCGAGGTCCACAAGAGAATACCCAGGGTGCCGCCAGGAAGGTCTGAGAATGGGTTTTCAAGCCCCCAAAGTATCGAGGGTTAGGGGAGGGATGCAGCTCCGGCCTCGACCTCCACTTCCGCACCTGCCCTGACCCAAGCGGTGTAAGGGGTCCAACGGAGGGTCTGAGTCAGGGACAAGAAAACGGTCCTGGGTCGCCGGGAAATCAGAACGGAGCGGCCCCGAGGGAGGAAGGGCTGCAGGAGGGCGGGGCGCGGTGCAGCGAAGGAACCGAAAGGAGGACGGCTGGGAAATGGGGCCGTACGACCGGGGACCCTTCCGGTACCACACCCGAGGGCCAAGACGGGACGGGAGGGTCCCGTCAGCGAGAAGGAGGCAGAACTTACTCCGCGGTCCTCCTCCGAGAGGAAGTCGGGGCCGTCGTCCAGGCCTTCCTGCAGGGTTGCCGGGCCCGGCGCACCGGGGGAGAAGATGGAGTTGGGGAGACACAAAGGGAGACATTAGTGCCAGGCCGGCGCGGCCCCCGCGCCCGCCCCGCGCCCGCCCCGCGCCCGCCGCCCCCACCGCGCGCCCGGGACTGGGCGCCGCTGAGAACACCCACCATCATGGCTGCTCCGAGTCCAGGGCCAGCGCAGGCGCGCACGGCACCGCGGGGCCGAAGGGAGCCGGCAGCAGCGGGAGGGGCGGGGCTGGTGGCGGCAGGCGGGGGCGGGGCCTCAGAGCAGCCCGCTCCGCCCCGCCCTGGAGCCGGGGTCAGGGGGCCATGAGCTGTAGGAAGAAGGAAAGCAGGGCCCTCCGCCCAAGGTCGAAGCACCCCAGTCGGAAAGGGCCCAAAGGCCCAGACCCACATGGCTGCGGGCAGGTCGCAACTGGCCGGCTCCGACCCGGAAGGAACCCAGTGCCACCCGGGGAGCTGTCCAGTTCCCATTCCCTGAGGGCTGCCGCGAAAAAAACCAAGCAAGCGCTCTCCAGAAGCCACAATAAATCATCTTGTCTTTGTATTATGCCACACGATAATTAATCACAATTAATATTTTGCCCATAGAAATTGTGGGAACTAAGGGCCTTCATAGTCAGCTGTAATCAAGCTTTTACTGTTGATGAGGTAATAACCTCAGGGTTTGGGGCGCTAATAGTTGAGCACTATAAAAATGAGCTGTTTGCGTTACAAGAGTATTTCTTTCCTTTATATGAACACGTGCCTGCAGATCTACTCTAACTGTCCAGCCAGGTAGCACCACGTGGGGTATCCACAGGCAATTCAAAAGATGAGACAAATTATTCCTTAACCTTTGCCCCATGTCCCTTTTACACACAAGCACACACTCAAACGTACAAGCCAGCCTTATGCTTCCACTTAATGGCATCAGCATCTTTAAATTTTCAGACCAGAAACCTCCAAGTCCTATTCAAATCCTTCCTTTTTCTCCCTCACTCATCACACCATTTAGTAACAAATTCTATTGCACCTACAATTGATTTTCTGTCTTATCTCTTAAATTGTCCCATTCCTTCCTCTCCTTCCTTCCACAGCAATTATCCTCAGTATCTGTTTGACCTTTGCAATACTCTCCCAACTTTTCTTTTTTCCATCTCTCTTTCCTCCGTTCTACATACTACTGCCAGTTTTCCTCCTGGACAGACATCGATGATAATGCTGCTACCCTGTTCAATAATCTTTACACATCTTTATGACTTAAAGTCCAACTCCTCTGCCAAGCATTTAAGGCCCTCTACACTCAATTCCCTCCCTCTTTTGTTGAATTGAAACTCTCAAAACAGTAATGTTAAACAATTAATATTTTCTTTTTTTTTAAATATTTTTTTTATTTCTAGGAGAGAGAGAGAGAGAGCGAGAGAGAGACAGTGTGAGCAGGGGAGGGTCAGAGAGAGAGGGAAACACAGACTCTGAAATAGGCTCCAGGCTCTGAGCTGGCAGTCAGCACAGAGCCCGACGCGGGGCTCGAACCCACGAACCGCGAGATCATGACCCAAGTGAAAGTCGGACCCTTAACCGACTAAGCCACCCAGGCACCCCTAAACAATTAATATTTTCATGAGAACTTTTTGTAGCTTTCATTTTGTATGCAAGAAGAACTGAGGCACAGAGAAGTTAAGTTACTGCCCGAACAAGGGTTATTCTCCAATGGAGGAGGGGCGGGGGGGGGGGGGACTTTATTTTTTGTCTTTTGTTTCTTGTTTCCCAGCACATTGTAATAACTACTAGAGTAGTGTTTTTCACTGGGAGTCATGAGGCATCATGCGGCATCAGTGTAGTGTGATGAAGTGTCAGGAGGGATGTTCTGGTAATTTGTTGCTGATGAAAAGTGCCAATATTTTCTAATAATTTGTTTTTGGTTTGAAGGTAATGCCTGTAAAGCTCTGCTTCCCAGATGGAGAGAAGAGTGGAGCTACAATTAATGAGTGGCATTTGAATACAACTGATAGGAGGGTCAAGTGTGCCCTGTGGACAAAGGTTGAGAAGTATCACCTAGGACCGCCTAAATGTCTCTGATCATTAACCAAAGGTTTCAGTTCTTAAGCCAAGTCCAGAAACCTTGTACCGAAACACTCATATTATCAAATGTCAAAACTTTGAAATCAGTAGTTAAAAACAAGTTTTAAAATATGAATAGCCGAATAGGGGTGCCTGGGTGGCTCAGTCAGTTAAGTGTCCACTCTTGATTTCAACTCAGGTCATGATCCTAGGGTCATGGGATTGAGCCCCACTGGATCAAGCTCTGTGCTGAGTGTGGTGCCTACTTGGAATTCTCTGATCCTCCACAACTTGTGTGTGTGTGTGTGTGTGTGTGTGTGTGTGCATGCACACACACTCTCACTCTCTCCCTCAAAATAAATAAATAAACATTTAAAAAAATATATGAGTAGCCAAATAAAATCATCAACAAAGACTTACAGTAATTACTACCTTCAAAAATCAATAACTGAAAACTGACATGAATAGAGAACCCAACCTTGAAATAATAGTTATTCATTAATACCTGAGCTGACCTTTCTGGGTAAAGGTCTCAAACTATATTTTATAAATGATGAGAAAGAATTATCAGTAGCTGATGCTAACAACTATCAAAAAAGTCACTTTAGAACTTAAGAGACATCAGGGGCGCCTGGGCGGCTTAGTCGGTTAAGCGTCCGACTTTCGCTTAGGTCATGATCTCGCGGTTCGTGGGTTCGGGCCCCGCATCGGGCTCTGTGCTGACTGCCAGCTCAGAGCCTGGAGCCTGTTTCAGTCTGTGACTCCCTCTCTCTCTGACCCTCCCCTGCTCACACTGTCTCTCTCTCTCTCTCCTAGAAATAAAATTTAAAAAAAAAAAAAAAAAAAGAACTTAAGAGACATCAAAGGAAAAGAAATTAAGATAAGCTCACATAATAGATTTTTCTGCTTCTTATAAAATAAATCAAGAAGATATTAAAGCTGAACTACTTTTCTAGTATGCTTAACCAAATAATCAATTTTTCATCTTGTTTTAATAGTTTTTTATGAAATTGCCTACTTATATATAAGTTCCATGAGCAAATTATGTTGAATCACGATCTGATCATTTCATAGATTTAGGTACGTGAAAATAAAATATTACAATTAGGGGTAGTTTCCCAATAGTGTGCTTCAAAAACAAATGTATGATAGACTTTAGAGAATAGTAAACTTGTAGGGAATAATAAGTGAGTCACTTTAAAATTTTGAAGACCAAAAATTGTATCTGCTTTGAATATTTTGTCAAGCAAAACTCATTTTTTTTTCCAGAAGAAAAACTTTAAAAATATGAAATGGTGATTATTTAATTAGATGTAGAAGATAACTGTTTAATTCTTTTTTTCATGTTCTGATCAAAGAAGGGTTCACCAAACCGTATTTTTGCTAACTGCTCCCTTCCTCAACTTTTAGATCATTTTTTGTTTTGGATAGCTTTTAAGTCCTGATTCTTCCCTCCTCCCTGGGAGTTATGCTATACACCAAAATTCTCTACAGGAAGACTGCTGAACTCCGTTTTTTCCAATTACACCAATTAGGACACATTTACCTGGAAGTAGCAGAAAATATCAATTCAAAATAAGCAGGATAGAAATTTATTATCTCCCAACAAAAAAATCAAGAAATAAGGAGTGTCTGGATATAGTACAGATCTTCCTCAATTTACAATGGGGTTACATCCCGATAAACCCATTCTAAGTTGAAAATGCATTTAATACACCTAATCTACTGAACATCATAGCTTAGCCTAGCCCACCTTAAACATGCTCAGAACACTTACATTAGCCTACAGTTGGCAAAATCATCTAACACAAAGCCTATTGTACAATAAATGCTGACTATCTCATGTAATTCATTGAATCCTGCACTGAGAATGAAGAACAGGGTGGTTGCATGGGTACAGAATGGTTGTAAGTATATTGGTTGTTTACCCTTGTGACTGCATGGCAGACTGGGAGCTGTGTCCAGCAGCTCTGACAACATGAATCACATGTAATCCAGTACTTGCAGATAATCACTGTTCATATTTTGGCAAATATGCTTTTAAATGTTTTCCCCATGCATATGCCTCATCCAGTATTTTTATTGACATGATCAATATCATATTTCAGAATATTATGTCATATTATTAGGTAAATTTCTATTCTTTGGCATGAATTTTAACACCTATGATATTCTAGTGGCTAGGGGCGCCTGGGTGGCTCAGTTGGTTAAGTGGCCGACTTTGGCTCCGGTCATGATCTTATAGTTCATGAGTTCGCTCCCCCCCCCCCCGCCCCCACCAGGCTTTGTGCTGACAGCTCAGAGCCTGGAGCCTGCTTCAGATTCTGTATCTCCGTCTCTCTCTGCTCTTCCCTGCTCACACTCTGTCTCTCTCTCTCTTAAAAATAATTTAAAAAAATTTTAAGAAATTAAAAAAAATTTATTAGCTAGATGTATCAGTGCATTTAACTATACCTCATTGCTTGAAATTGATATTGTTTATATTTTGTTTACTTGAAAAAAAAAAAGTTTAGGGAGCCTGGGTGGCTCAGTCGGTTAAGCATCTGACTTTGGGTCAGGTCATAATCTCACAGTTGGTGAGTTCCAGGCCCGAATAGGGCCCTGTGCTGACAGTTTGGATCCTGTAGCCTGCTTTGGATTCTGTGTCTCCTTTTCTCTTTCTGCCCCTCCTCTGCCTGTGTGCACGTGCCCTCTTTCTCTGAAAGATAAATAAATCAACTTTAAAAAAAGTATAAAACATATCCTAGTAGTTAAGTCTTTGGAAATACCTCTGATTATCATTATTATCATTTAGATGTTTATTTATTTTTGAGAGAGTGCAAGTGGGGCAGAGGCAGAGAGAGGAGAGCAGAGGATCAGAAGCCAGCTCTGTGCTGACAGCAGTGAGCCTGATGTGGGGCTTGAACTCATGAACCGGGAGATCATGACCCGAGCTGAAGTTGGACACTCAACTGACCAAGCCACCCAGGCTTCCCTAGTGCTCTGCCAAATCTTAACTGATGTGTTTTTTAAGGAGAAATGTTAGACTAAATTGAAAAATTGAAATTGTACCTTTGCACACATATATCTCTGAAAGTAAATAGCAATGGGATTTGGTTAAGTACACTGATACATCCAGCTGATGTAATAAAAACATTATTCTGGAATTCTACAAAATACTTAACTGATACTCCTCAAAATTACCTATCAAAGATCATGAAAAAATGGAAAGACAGAGGCCCCTGCCTGGCTCAGAAGAGTATACAACTCTTAATCTTGGGGTTGTGGGTTCCAACCCATAGTTGGGTGTAGAGATTGCTGGAAAAAAACCCTAAAAACAAAACAAAACAAAAAAGGAAATATAGACACTGTCATAAACCAAGAGCATTGAGAAG